CCCCCCACTACCACCATCATCCAATAGAATTAAGGAATTCTTGCCTTAATATTTAGCTCAAATGAATGTATTATGGTACCATATCTAACAATCAGTGAAATTAATGAGATGTTTTTGTTGGAGTAAATCATTGGAGGTAAACGTACAGAACTGTTCACACAGCAGCAGAGCAGGGAATAGAAAGTGTAGTAGCAGCAGAATACTTTGAAGAGGATATTCATTCACTTCATCCTAGCCTGTGATTTGTTGCCAGGAGGTTTCCAGGAGAGGAATCGGTAAACTTTTATATCAAGGTTAAATGAATCCAGTTAAGACTCAAAGATAGTGTTAGTATAATTTCACCCTTAGGTTCTCATTAATATGTTGATAATTTTGACTTGTGTTTCTGAGCTCTCCCTCCTTCACGTGTTACTTCATAATTCATTTGTACCTCAATCCCATCCCAGTCCCTCAACAAAAATCCTCCTTACGCTCATCCTTGGCCTGTACTTTCTGCCAGGCATTTCTACAACACCCATGGTCACTGCAGGTTTAGATGCTGTTTACCCCGTGGCTCCTTACTTTTGTACTCTGGTTGCTTGTCTAGTGATGTTAGGAGCTGCATGTTATTTGATGCGTCACTTGAGGAAAAAGTACATATTTCTGTAGTTTTTGGTTGATTCTCATTCCTTTCCTAGTGATTATAGTACCTGTGGGTGGTCTGTATAAATGTGGTTTAGAAATGATGGCTCATGTGCATGCAGCCTACATGTTAGAAGTTACGTGAAAATGAGTGAATGTCATTCACCAAAAATCATTTTTGGCATTATTATGCTATGTCAAGGAAATGTATTAAACCTTGTTTGAAAGGTTATGACACTTGACTGGATTCCCCCCCAAATTTACTCCTAAGCATAAACAGTTTTAGAAAATCAGTGTAATGTATTTTTTCACCAAGGCTTACTCTTACTTACTTCTATAAACCTTGGAGAAATGCAGATATGTTGGGATGAAAGTTAGAAACTGAAAAAGTAATGTAGTTCTTAGTGTTGTGAGAATAGTGATTATTTCAGGATTTTTATGCAACTGAAAACACTATCGTAGATCCAGGAGCAACAGGAACGCAGGCGCTTGGAGAGGGAGGAGAAGGAGCGTTACGAAGCCCAGCTGGAGGCTGACATGATAAATCACCAACCCTGGGGTCGAGGTGGGGGAGGAGCCCCTTTGAGAGACAGCACTGGAAATCTCATCGGTAGGCCCCGAGTATTGTCTGTCTTTTTAAAATTTTTTATCAATACTTGCTGCCTCCTGTAAAAGTTGATTGCAACTTCTGTTCCACCATTCCTGTTGGCCAGCTGACCTCAACCAGATGCATAAGATGAATGAGGAGGCCTACAGCAACCCAGAGCAGTGGCAGAAGAGAGCCATGATGCCCCACCATGTCGTGCTCCCTGACCCCAATGAGAGGGTCTCTGGTACTGTAGCAGAGTTACGGTATCCATGACACTAGTGACAGGCTCCGTTGCCATACCCATCTCTAAGCATAAGTGTTTTGCTATCAGAAGATCATCAGCATCACAGCTTGCATTAAAACTAAGCTGGAAGAAAGGTCTTGTGGATGCAGCTCTGAATATATAATGTGGTATAATTAAAAAAAACTGTTTTACAGTGATTGAAGGTACTTCAGTCAGTGGAAGTAACTGACACCATAAGCTGCTCTTAACCACATTTTGCTGCTCCTATTCTTCAAGCTATGCTGTGAATTGGTTGTGGTTGTCACTAGATGTGACAGACTGTACAAAATGCAGCCCTCAGTCTGAGCTGATTGAGTGAATTTGTCAGAAATCCAGTAGAATGCTGTGGTTACTGCTAATGTGACACAAAGCTTGAATTGCAATGAAATTAAAATCCTACTGATTCAATGTGAAGGTAAATTGTGACCGTACAAGGTCGCTAATTTAACCAAAACAAACATGTTGGCTTTATATGCTAATGTATCCAAAAGGAAGTATGACACATTTGAATCAAATTCAAGTCATTTGGTTGCTTTTAAGACTCTCCATCTAAAAAAAACCGAACTAATTAGCCGTTTGAAATGACTACTGGCAGTTTGAAAAACTTATAGCTTTCACTAGGTGGCCTGCGGGGCGAATTTACAGACCATACTTTGACCACCCAGGGTAGAGAGACAGTAATAGCCAACAGGATGTGGTCGGTGGGGAAACATCATGCCCTGTCCCATATTCACTTCATTTATCAAACTGTACAGTCTTAGTTAATGCACCTTCAAAGAGAACAAAAGACTAAAACGAGACTAAAACTGACCAGGGCCAATTATAGACACAGACTCGCTCCAAGTCCTACTGTAGCTCCATTGAGCCTATTCAGGTTCATGTATAAAAATGTTTATGAACTCTAGCACTACACCATGGCAGCAAAATCTGGCACATCATTGACTACCACTCGGTGAGAATTCTCCTACAATTGAAGGGAAATGTATTTGGAACAAAAGTTTTTTTTTGGTCCAACTCACAGTAGAATTTCCTCATGTTTACGTCTTTGTTTAGGATTCACCCATGTCCAAACCCCCCAGTTTGCCAGAGGCAATGTGTTTGCCAACCAGCCCACCCAACAGCAGCTCCATGAACAGGACAAGTACAAAGCTTGCCTCAAACAGCAGGTACTGCTTTAAACAGCTGGTGGCACATCTGCTGGCTGTCTTATAGTAGATAGTTTATGTATAGTCTTTCAATAAAACATCTGCTGTATCGAATCAGTCTCTGAATCGTACTGTATCGTTTAATTTTGTAGTATCAGTTGTCTTGCATCAACCCTCTGGGCTGCAAATAATGGTTCGTCATCGCATTAACGGGTTTATGTACTGTAGTCTCGTTAATCTCTATTTGTTTCCAGATTGAGGAGAAAATGCAAAAAAAAGCAGAGGAGAGGGAACGGATCAGACTGGAGGAGGAGAAAGAGGAGAAGAGGTTGGCAGAGCAGAGGGCTCGCATCCAGAGGGAGTACGAGGAAGAGCAAGAGAAGAGGAAACGAAAGGAAATGGAGGTGAGAGGCTAAAGACCAGTCTACACGGTTCTTTAGTGAAAAGCACTGATTCTTTAATTCTAGTGTGATGTTTGTTTCGTTAAATATTGTACGAAAAACAAATTGTCCAAGACTTCTCCCTTTCCTCCAAATGATCCCTCTTGTACCCCCCCCATCGCTGCCCCGCTCTCTTTCATCTCTCCCAGCAAAAGTCCAAGAATGAGGAGCTGATTCAGTTGGCTGAACAGAGGAAGAAGGAAGCGGAGAGAAAGAAGAAGGAAGAAGAAGAGGAGGAGAATGCAGCACTGAGGAGGCAGTATGAGAGCAGCCGGCAGCCTCAAGTGGAGGAGGTTTGTTCACTGATGGCTCCACAATATGTTGAAGTTTCTGCTAGAAAATGTGATTATTAGTGTCATTATAGCCACTCTTTATATTAATTTACAACACAGCCAGTGGGTGTTACATTAAGTAATCAGGCTGAATTGAAGTTAATCACAGTTTTGAAACTTATTTAGTGAAAGGGCTGTTGTGTCTCTTTAGGTCCGCAGGGAGCCCTCACCTCCAATCCCCACCCTGCAGAAGAAACTTGGGCTACACCAATACACCCCCAGACCCCCCACTGTTGCCAGCCAGCACTCTCCTGCCCCCCTGTCTGTGAGGCACCATACACCCAATCACAGAGTAAATACACATTAAAGTCTCTCCACAGAAATCTTTATCTGTAGTGTCTTTAAAATAACTTGTCCGATTTTGTTAATTGTTCTGCCATAAGTAAAGGTTAATGTTTTCTCCTACTCCCTCTGTCAGGAGGGCTCTTTGTCTGGTCTCCATTCGCCTCCTGTACCTGCCTGTAGGAACCAACTTCGAGCTGCAGGTACTGTACATGCCCACACATACAGATGTTTTCTGACCCGCAGTTGTACAGTATGTGCCAGTAAAGCTATGCCGTTAAACATCTCACTTTAGCAAACAAAACATCCACAGTTTGTTAGTTTGGTTCAGTCTGTCTCATGGACGTCTTTTACATGAGTGAATGGTCCAGCTTGTCCCAAAGTTGCTAAACTGTGGACTTAATGATATTATCTAATAGCCGTGGTTTTCTGCTGAGAATTGGTAGTGAAAACGCTTTGTCAGATGTAGCCAGTTGGTGTGTATTTTCAGGTGACCAGCGTGATGTGTTCAGTGAGCTGTCAGTGTTGCGCCGGCAGCTTCGCAGCGAACAAAAGCGACTGGAGGGCTGCCTGCAGCAGGGCAACTGGGAGGATTTTGACTCTCATCCAAGTGTCAGGTCAGGCCCAGGCACATGCATCACACAGCATTCATTTGTCATAGTTATACTTTCATAGCTCTTGTAACTAAAGTTGCAAATACATACATCTGCCTATAAACTAACTACAGCTGGAGCCTGGAGGGAATTGCTGTGATGTGTCATGCTTAAAAATTGTATCTCGGCGATCAGGGGTACTATGGAGTAGCTAGACTAATTTGGAAAAAATAGAAACTTGAATAAAACATATTTAGAGATACACCAATCGATCAGTTAGATATCGGAATTGGTTGGTTTTAGCTTAACCAGCCATGGCCGATGATCAGTCTGAGATCTTTGATTCTGTACCAGTCGTTTACAGACACACCATGCACAGTGGCACAGACAGAAAGAGTAGCATGTTCAGCGCTTAGCATCTCATGTGAGCCTCATGCTCGTATCTATAGCGGCCATGTTTACTTGAACATTGTAAGTGCTTGGTGTGCGAACAGCACACAGAGGAGCCTACAGAGACGCCTTGGAGAAGGGAAAACTATGGTTCAAAACTCTGACACATAATACACAATATACACAGTGAGGGGATTACTGACTACACATGAAATGCATGTGTGTATTTATACAATGTATCCAGCACATGGTAAAACACCATATTAAAAACTACACTTTAAAATGAACTGCATGTGCAATGGGATTGATTTAACACACATTCTTCTGTTTCCATTAGGCTACCTGTTGTACCATTTATATTTGGATAGCTACAAATATTGCACTTCATTTTTAGTTGGTTTGTAATATGGGGGGGGGGAAGGTTTGTCCTGTACCCTGCAGCACTTTATTTGTTTGAGAGAAAGACGGAAAATCAGAATCGGCTTTATTGGCCTGGTGTGTTGGACACACGAGGAATTTTACTCTGGTACTGCGGCTCTCAATGTGTATGTACATATCCTTATGTAAGGTAGCAATGGGCAAGTAAATGGTATAAGGCTGAGAGAAGAGAAAGGAAAGAAAGTAATTCATTCCAATTTAGTTTTTCATTTTAAAAGTTAGAAAATGTGCATGCTGTCAGTTGCAGTTCTTACAAAATCTGAGTTGGCAAAAATTGGAAATCAGCCAAGAAAACTGCAATTAGTGCATCTCTGTGTTCTCACTTTGAATCAGCAGGAGCAGCATATGTTGAGAGTCCACATAAATGAGTTGGCAGCTGAAGGGGAAACATTACTATTGATGGGTTTGCAGTTCAAATTGTGAGCCAAAGGTAACCAGTTGAAATGGTTAGCTAAAATTAATAGATCAACTGTTTAAATTATTAGCTTAAAGTCATAGAAGAAAAGCTGAAATAGTTATCTTAAAGAAATGAATATTTGCAATAAATAAATACTGTATCAGTGCTGATGAAAGGGTCCATCAGGTTATATGAGAAAACCTTGGGGCACCACTGATGCCTCCATCTCTTCCCTAATTAATAGTATTTCCTCTCAAACCTGATGGTGAATAGTGAGTTTAACGATTCTGCTGTGCCATGGGACTGATTGAATTTTGTGTGTGCGCTTGTCTTTATCTGTCCAGACATCGGGAGCGTCCCCCGGTGGATGTGTTTGATATGGCCAGGCTGCGGCTTCAGGCTCCTGTGCGAAGGCCCAACTCCAGAAACATGGAGCCGAGAGACTTGCTGCGGGTCCACAATCCCATTCAGCTCAAATACTCAGGTATTACAGGGTTTTATCATTCTGTACTCTGTTCTATTGCATATCAACATTATTAATCAAATGATTGATGTATGTATGTATGTATGTATTGTATATCAGATGGAGACTCCAGGCTGGGCTCCAGTGAGGCTCCTAAGCTGGAGGACGTGTCCAGCAGGAGGAAGCGGGACTACAAGGATCCATACAACCAGTTCAGCAGCCAGGGGGTTACAGTCCAGGATGGTCAGAGCTCACTGTATTTCTGAATTCACAAAATTTATGATGTTGATGTTAAAGATAACTGGGTTTTCTACATGGCCCATGACCTGTTTATGTATCTGCATGCACTGTCTGAACAGTGATATCTGCTCCATGGGCATTTGCATTTATAGCTTGTGTAGTAGAGCAGCACAGGAAAAAAAAAGGCCTCCTTGTGTTTCAGATTATTTCAACCTGTCGCCACCACAGCAAAACGATGATCTGGTGAGTGGACAATACACATTTTGGGGTTAATCGAGCGCCTGTGCTTCAGAAACATCTGCTACAAAAAATGGTAAGCCTCCAACTGTTGGAGTAGAGCTGTGAAGAGTTGTTTTATGTTGCAGAAGAGGATGATGGGGGGATTTCCAAGAGGTTCTCTGCTGGAGTCGGAGAGTGCTTTTATTGGTAAGATGAACAAAAAAAAAACACAATGTACAGACACAGTTGTGGTCTTGACTACTTGCAAAATAAAATCCAGAGTCCACTGTGTCCAAGACCATGACAAGACCAAGGCCTTCAAAAAGTGGTCTTGAGACCAAGACTGATATCCGACTACAGCAATACCCCCTGCACTTCACCAGTGCAGCGTTAATGTTCCACAAGCATCCAGTTTCATTCGCACCTTTAATTCAATATTCTGTAAAGACAGCGAACACTGAGGCTAAGGTTAGTTGTTGCCTACTCGCTGTCGTTATGTTGGAGCTGCTGAAGTGTGGGTTTATTAATCAAATTTCTGACACAATCGCTACAGAGGAACCAGAAATGGAGACTATGGAAGCAGGAGTATATGTGGATAGTGTATAATGCATGTAATGGACTGCGGTGTTCACATGACTGACACGGAGACAATGCTAACAGGATATGTAACGTATGTTTTATAAGAAATTTTTCTCTTTAAGTAATTAAAAAAAAAATTCTGCCCATGTATCAACAAAGAAGGATACAGTTGGAAGCATGTTTCATTGTACATGACTGACTCAAGCACAGTGTTGGGAGGTAGCAAAAGAGCACGTACAAGGTAGAAACATTTGGGGAATGTGGTGCAAAAAAGACTGAACTAAGACGATATGTCTGTTTACAAATGAACTTGAGTTTTCAGTTTAAACAAAGAGCTATTTACCTTCTGTTAATCTTCATTTATTGAAGTGTCAGTTAAGGCTGTGTTAAGTTGTGTTAAATGGCCTTTTTTGCACTGTTTTTACATTTGTGCCACCAAAAATGTTCTTTGGTCACCACATTTAGGGGCTTGGTGGTACATGGGGCCAGTGCTTTAAAAATATTGTCTATCCCTGAAGTGGCAAGATGTGGGGACAACAAAACATAGCACAGTGATTGTGTAGTTGAAATGCTTGGAGCTGATTGTGTGTGTGGTGTGGTGAGACCCCCTAGGTAATGATTTTCCAGTGCACCCTATGCCAGACCTCAAAAACACACCTCAGTTGTCAGCCAGGGAGAGGAGGAGGATAGCCAAACAGTCGCAGCATGCCCAGGTATTCTGCTTTACACCACATATACACACACACACACACACACACACACACACACACACACACACACACACCTCTCGCAGATTCACACAATGAAGTCTAAGCACCTGTGCCTTTGTGCACCAGTGAACTACAGTAACTATTTGTTTCATCTGGTGTTCTCTGCTTCAGGAACGAGCACCTTCCAGCCAGCCCACTGGTTACCGTGATGAATTCTTTGCCTACACAGGCAACAGGCTGCAGCTGGAATCGGAGACCAGCGGTGACAGGACAGGCCGCAGCAACAACATATCTGGTACATAAACATAAGATTCATTTGGCAATATTTTTTTTTTGCTGTGGGTACTTGTTTACATATTTCAGACAGTGATTTCTACAGCCGTCTGCTGGTCCATTTTGGTTTAAGACAAGGTGAGGATTTTGATTCAGTGTTTAACTCTTTCAGGGTCTTATTCTCTGGCTCCCTGCTGTTGTTTTTCAGGGCCAGTGGGTCTCTGATGATGAGTCCTCTCCTCCCCGGTATTCGCCTGACAATCTTAACTATCAAAGCTCTGTAGAAACAGATGCCTGGTTGCGGCCGGGAACATCAGAAACACTTAAGCGTCTAGACCGTCCATCAAGAAGGGAGCAGTTGACATAGGACTCTGTTCGAGCCTGAGAAATGCTTCAATTTAGAACCCCCCCACCCCCATGAGTGGTTTTAGCTCGTGGCTTGTGTGACAAGTAGTCGGTATGAATGTCTGGAAAAATGGTAACTTTTCATATGTATGTTTTTAACTCGGTTTACATCAGAAAACCTCTGAACTCTCACTGAGAACTTGTATGTTCTTGTTTGTGGGCATTTATTATGACTAATTTATGTGCTAAATAAATTATTTTAATTAGTTGAACGTGTTTTGGTTGTTTGCATCCTTTGACAAGGTATCACAGCTTCAAATCTACTGTACAAAAGTTTCATCATACATAGAAGTTTATCATACTTTATATTGTGTATTCACTGTCAATTAAATGTTTCAGTTCAGTTTTATTTGACACTAAATCAAGCAAAGTCTGAATTCAGTTAAAAACTGAATGAGAGGCAGGTGGATGGTATTCAATAACAAATAGAACCGGCTTTTGAGTTTTCCAGTTTGGGTGAGGCTTTCAAATGAGTTGGGAAAAAAAAATCAAAATTGTTGTCATAACTTTACAAAATGTATTCAGGTGTTAAAGTATGACCACATGGCAACAAATGTGACTTCACTGTTCTGGCACACCTTACTAATGTAAATGTTTGACACCTTGGGAAGTAAACTTATTTCCTCTTACAAAGTTAATTCACAGCGGCTTTTCATCTGTTAAGTATGTGGCCAAAGATAACAAGATGCACTATCTAGGATCTCTAAAGCTTACTTATTTAACTTTTCTATCTATTTTGGTTAATCCATACACAAACCAGACAAAAACTGACCTTGTGGTTTTACAGAGGATCATGCCAAACTATTCTTTGGCCAGGCACAGAGACTTCCTGCTAAGGAATGGTGTATTTCCCCAAAACAGGCATAATGTACAAATTTCCATTATTGGTAATTAAAACAAAATTAAAATTGGATGATTGTTTTTGCATCCAGTCAGTCTTAAATTATCTCACCTTTTTCATCCAAATTGACAGTTCTTATATTCTAGTGAAATCTTGTGTGCAGTCAGTCTACGAGCAGCCGTTACATTATCCACGTTTATGGAGCAGCTCTGGGATTTGTCTCCCTTAGAGATAGGATGAGGAGCTCGGTCACCCGGGAGGAGCTCAGAGTAGAACTGAGAGGAGCCAGCTGAGGTGGCTCGGGCATCTGTTTCGGATGCCTCCTGGACGCCTTCCTAAGGAGGTGTTCCGGGCATGTCCCACTGGGAGGAGGCCCCGGGGAAGACCCAGGACACGCTGGAGGGACTATGTCTCTCAGCTGGCCTGGGAATGCCTCTGCATTCCCCCGGAGGAGCTGGAGGAAGTGTCTGGAGAGAGGGAAGTCTGGGCAACTTAGACTGCTGCCCCCGCAACCCGGTCCTGGAAAATGGATAGATGGATGGATGTGCTGTTTGATGAAAGTAAATCAGAGCCCATCTTCCACATCATCCATTAAACCTGAACAGCTGATAATGGCACAAATCCAAGATGTAGATTACCACCCAGAAGACACACTCTGTTATGTGTCCATCAAATTTAAACAAAATCTCTATTCATACAGTAGCAACTACTATATGGTCAGGTGACTGGTTCTGTATTTAATGCTGTGATGGCTAAGGTGCTTTAGTGAGGTTTTACTTTGCAATGGTTGCAGTTATCACATACAAGACCCCTTTAGTGCTGCGAAGCAGGTCAACTCGTTAAAACTGCATTGTAAAATGTGAGATCCATGGATGACAGAAGGCCAGAAGCCATGGTTGTCATATCCCAAAACAGAGTTTTGCTGCATGCTTGAGTATACACATGGCTTCTCTGTCTACATCATTTCTCATTCTCCTTCCATCATCGCTGTCCCTCTCAGTACCATCACTCTGTCTCGATCATGCTCTCATGCTTGTGCACACACTTGTTTGCACTCTCCTGCTTGGACAAGCACTGTCACTCACTCTCCTCCACTCTCTCTCTCTGTCTGAATGAGTGATGATGACCTTCTCCAACATTGGATAGGAAAGAGGAAAGAAGCCATCTAAACACTGCTATGCTTCCATTACTCAACCAGACACTCCACTGTCAACACCCCCCAAAGCGCGTGCACACACACACACACACACACACTGCATCCAACTCAGCATCACACTGACTCAGGAAGACCACAGAAGCATAATATGGCTACCAACTTTGTCCAAAAATTGATTGTCCAGGCAAAATCTTCTCTGCTGGTTGAAACAATTTATTGCTCCAAACAAATATTATGGTCCTTAACGTTCGAGCACCAGAACCCAAAACTTGGAGAGAACCCACACAGGTAGGACAAAAGAACACCAGAGAACTTGCAAACTCAACACAGAAAAGCACCAGGTCAGCTGGGGGCTCAAACCCAGAACTTTGCTGTGAGACAACGGCACTAACCACCATGCCACTGTGCTGCCAAAATGCATCTAAAAATGCAAAAAAGGACCTGTCTGTAGGCAAGATGGTGTATTGTGAATAGAATTCGTGCATTGTCAACCTTGGCTGGAAGTTATCAGATTTTTCTGGAGGTTGTGCTACAGTTAGGGTTAAAGTTAACCCTAACTTCAGATACTAACCACAGCCATAACCAAACCCAAAAACTTAGAAGTGACTTTGATATTGATGGCTGAGTTGTGGGAGAACAATTAACTGTACCTGGGTGTGCTACAACTGTTTGGCCATTATCTTCTCCCCTGGCTGGCAACTGAGGTGTCTTTTCGAGGTCTGACCTACAGGCCCTGGAAAAGTATTGCATAAGGACCTCGTCCTCCTCCCACTCTCACTGCAGAGTTAATTATGATCATATGAGCGATGGCATTTGTGTGTCACTTCGTGTGCATTAGTTTCAGCTTACTGTATTAGACTTGCCTCTTTGAGTTTCATTTTTTATTAGTAAATTGAATTCAGGCAACTTTATTATCACCAAGGGGCAAATTGTTATGCAGCCAGTAGCAATCATACCACAATCACAGTAAACATAAACAAACAAACAAATAAAAACATAAGCCACTAGTATGGAGCTACAACCACTGGTATTTAGCTTCAAGTACTGAAAAAGCCAATAGTGGCTGGGCCGAAAGAGTTTTTAAGTCTTTTTGTCCTTCATGTTGGAATCCTCTATCTGTGACCAGACAGCAGCATGAGAAACCCAATAAACAAGGGCTGGCTGCTGTCAGACCTTCTGTTTCCAGTCTACCTGTGAAGAAAGTCTGAGTTACAGTTTACAGTATCTACCTTCTGTTTCCTGTCTACCCATGAATGGTCTAAATATAACTCGTCTTTCTTCACAGGTAGACTGCAGACAGAGACTGGAGACTGACGGTCAAAGTATAACTGAGTTGACTGAGTTATACCTACCATGTGTCTCCTGTTGACCTGGGAAGCCTGAATTGTACTTAGACCACCCATCTCCAATCTACTAAAAAAGGAAAGACTGAGTAATACTTAGACCTTTTGTCTCCAGACTAACTGTGAAGAAAGACCGAGCTATACCTACCTACAGTCTCCAGTCTACCTCTGAAGACTGTTATACCTACCTTCTGTCTCCAGCTCTACCTATTTATATTAAAAAGTTTGACTGGCAAACTGACATGCTTGTTTTGTGAAGTCAAAGGTAGTGTGTGTTTATCACCAAGTTAGCAGTTTTATTAGTGGTTCACATAGACGGCTTGACTTTGCTGTGCAGTGAAGTGGAAAAACACTCACACCATGCCAACACGTCTCATTAGACCGCAGCAGTGACTGTGCGGGGTTTAGTCACGCCGAGCCATACTGTGAACGGCCACAAGCAGACGAACTGTCTTGGCGCTGTGTGAGTGGTGTTCCACTTTACTGCACAGCCAAGTAAAGTTGTGTACCTGGACAGCTCATTAAACTCTAGTAAATTGGTGAAAAAATGTTGTAGCTCCTACATTTCCACAAAAAGACATCCCACCAGTTTGCCAGTGAGAAGTTGTAAAGCAGCACACAGCTCTCATACAATAGAAAGTGACCAGAAAACAATAAAATAAGGCTGACATCTGAAAGTACAAACAGAAGCACAGGGGTGACTCAGGTACAGTAAAAGCTACAATGGTACTGAGAGCAGAACTCATGTGGACTTTTAAAACTAGAGCTGAGTCTCTTTTCTCCGCTATAATAGACACACAAGCAGCACAACTCAGTGCAGCCCTCTCCTGTTGTGAGGTTGGAAACACATTGTGAGTGTAGCTAATGCAGACAAATGTGGCCACCTCAAAACCCATATAAGATGCAAATTCTCAGGGCACTGCAGTAACTTAGGGGTGAAGACTCTGACCGTCATCTCCTACCTCCCTCTTTTGACTTTCACTGAGGAAACACATTCTGTGCTTAAATTGCAGCGTTTGAGATTTGAAAACTGCGTTCTGTTAAATCACAATTTTGATTTGAAAATGATTAATTGTTCAGCCCTACCAACTACCAAGAGATTCCTTTGTAAAGCAGTTTCAGTGTAAATGATGGGACTACAGCTAAAGTCCTATTTATGAATTCCAAAATTTTGCAGTCTTTTTTAGAAAAATCACATGGGTATCTTCAAAAATTTGTCCAGAATTCCCCTTTTTTGATGCCATCTCCCCACCACACCTGCCATGTCCACACCACACACCCTGTTTTATGTTTCCCAATGTAGCTATATCCAACTTAAAGTAGTGACTGTAAAAAGGGCATAACTTTACGCAGTGTCGTTCCTCTGAGAGCAAGGTTCTCACCTAGTTGTTCCTCTGGCAGAAGGACTCAACAAGTGACCTTCCAATCAAACTTGCATCTGTAACATTTAGGCCACCACCGCTGCTGCTGCTAACTTTCCCCACAAGCAACTTATAAGAGGCCAAGATAGTGACATGTGTTACCTTACACAAGTGTCTGACATAGTGTACTCGCTTCTAGCCCATGCAGGGCTCACACAAGTAATTCTTTTCAAGCCCATGTAGAGTGCTCAGGCGCACTTGAAGCTTATGTGAATACCCAGACTTGAATATACTATCTGGATGAAACATAAATTGCAGAGGAAGATCTAACTTGTTGACAAGTATGTCACAAATGTGAGTCAGTCAACCTAGACTGTGGGAGGAAGCCAGAGTACTGAGAAAGGCCCCCACTCAGCACAGGCTTGAACCCGGAACCTTCTCACTGTGAGGCTACAGTGCTAACCACTGCACCACTGAGTCACTAGGCAACATGAATCGAACCCTTTTGAGT